TCCGGCCCGTTCTCTGCCTGTTTTCTAAGATGACCTTTAACCTGCAGGTACCCAGCAGCCCCCTCCCTTCTTCACTTCTTCCCTTCCACTCCGAGGAGGCGTGGCCTCTCTCCACCTCCTGGACCCGGACCTGCTCAGAGCCCCAAACCAGCCCGGCCACATTCCTCTGGGAGGGAGGCGGGAGCACAGCCAGGCCCAGAACAAGAGAATGAGGAAGAATGAGGAAGCCGGGGAGGAGGGAGCCTGTGACGGGGAGCCAGTAACACACACACACACACATACACACACACACACATAGACATACACACACACATGCATACACAGACACACACAAACACACATACACACAGACATACAGATACACAAACACACACACACAGGTAACCGAAACACACACACACACACATACAGACATACACACACACACACACACACACAAAAGCAGACACACAAACATACACACACACATACACTCACACATACACTCACACATACACACAAACACACAGACACACACACACAGACGTACACACAGACATACACGTACAAACACACACACACAGACATACACACAGACACACACGGCTAGCCATGTCCGCTACTTAGAACTGGGCTCTAGCTACTCCCGTTAGCATTGTATGCTATCAACATAATCCTCGACTGTCTGATTCCTGTTAGAACTAAACTCACATCTGGAACATCCAGAGGAGTTCCCGCTGGACTTTGAGGTCCTGATGCGGCAGAACCGGCCCAGATCACCATCCCTCCCCCACCGTGCAGACATCTGCTCTCTTATCCGGCCTGTTTCTAACTGTGCCTTCCCGACCTTTGACCCTTTAACCTGCTGACCGAGGCTGGCAGAGTCTCATAGGCAGGGTCATAGGGGTCAGAGGTCGTCACCATGTCCAAGATCAAACACAAGATATTTATCCGGCCATCCGTTGGAATTATCGCCCACCGAAGACACGTGAACTGACTAGTAAAGTAGTAATTATTAATTGTTACTGTATTTTCTGGA